TTTAACCAGTAACCCAATGGACTCAATCCCATCATTTGAGAAATACTCCTTTACAAGGTCAAAGTTATTTAAACAAACCAGGTGACCTTGAATCCATCAGGGAAAAAATCCTTAAAGGATAGGAAAACGGGACCAAGGAGCTAGATTTTCCTTGAAGAACTAGAAGTCAGATGGGGAGACACCTCCCCTACATGTTTGGGGGAAATGACATGTCAGCACGTATGGGTACAGTCTAACACAGGGACCACTTTACCCTAGTGTCTCAATGCTTCTACTTTATTTTTAACTCTCTCCTCAGCTGGAAGACACACATTTGAGATTCACATTTTCACATTCCTGATACCAGGATGTATCTTACAGTCAAGAGTGTCTTCAAGTTGTAACGGACACCGTTTTTCTTTTTGTAAGCGATGCATAGAATAATAGTGTGCCTCAAAACCTTCGGTGGCTTGGATTCATGAAATAGGGTTATGTCACCATTGTTACGTGTGTGTTAGATTTTACCTTAGTTGTATTTTTTTAATGCTTATTTATTTATTTTGAGAGAGAAAGACAAAGAGAGAGAGAGCGTGCGAGTGGGCACGAGCGGGGGAGTGGCAGAGACAGACGGAGAGAGAGAGACTCCCAAGCAAGGTCCATGCTGTCAGTGCAGAGCCCAACACAGGGCTCGATCTCATAAATGGTGAGATCATGATCTGAGCTGAAATCAAGAGCTGGATGCTTAAGCCACCAGGTGCCCCTAAATTTGACTTTCTAACAAACTACCGAACTGTTTTCTAAGTGGTCACACCATTATACATTCCCAACAGCAGTGCATCAGGGTTTCAACAACTTGGTATTGTCAGTCTTTGGGATTTTAACTATTCTTGCAGATGTTCATTGTATCTCATAGTTTTAACTTGTATTTCCCCAGTGACGAATTGTGATGAACCTATTTTTATGAGTTTATTAGCCATTCACCTACCTTTTTTGATGAATTGTCTACTTAATTCTTTTGCCCATTTTTAATTGGGTTGTTTGATTATTGAATTATAGGCATTCTTTACATTCTAGAGAAAATTCTTTTTCAGATAAATATTTGGCCTCGATTTTCTCTCATTCTGTGATTTTTTTATCTAAGCAGTGTCATTTCAGACACTTTTTAATATTTGATGAAGTCCAACTTATTAATGGTTTGATCTAATGGATTATGTGCTTTTGATGTCTTAACTTAAGAAATCTTCGCTCAACTCAAAGTCGTAAGATTTTCTCCGATGTTTTCTTCTAACGCTTTTGTAGCTTCAGCTCTTAAATTTAGAATTATGATCCATTTTGAGTTGGTTTTTGTTTATTGTGTGAGATAAGAATCTAATTTTATCTTCAAAAAATCTATATCTCATTGTTCCAGCATATTTGTTGAAAAACAAATCACCCTTTAAAAAGGAAGAACTACTGGGGCACCTGGGTGGCCCAATCAGTCCGTTAAGCATCCGATTTCAGCTCAGGTCATGATCTCATAGGTCATGGGTTCAAACCCCGCGTCAGGCTCTCTGCTACAGCTCAGAACTCAGAGCCTGCTTCAGATTCTGTGTTTCCCTCTCTCTCTGCCTCTCCCCTGCTTGCACTGTCCCTCTGTCTCTCTCGCTCAAATATAAACAAACATTAAAAAATGCATTAAAAAAAAAAGAACTACTGTGGCAAAATACACATAGCAGAAAGCTGATAATTTTGGCTAAAATTTTGAGTGTAAAGCTTTTTAAGTGCAGTTTTAGCATAGTTCATTTTTTCAGCGCTGTTCAGTAGCACTTAAGAGCGTTCACCTTGTGCAAACATCAGCACTATCGGTCTCCAGAACGATCTTCATCGTTCAAATTGAAATTTGAAAATCTATACCTATTTAAAAAAGAGTCCCGTGTCCCCTTCCATCCTGCCCCTGAAAACCGTCTGTCTACTTTGTATGGATTTGACGACTCTAGGAGCCTCATTTAAGTGGAATCATACAGTATTTGCCCTTTTGATTGACTTCTTTCCTTTCACATAAGGTCCTCAAGTTTCATCCACATTGTAGCCTGGGCCCGCGTTCCCTTCCTGTTTATGGCTGACTACCATTCTGTTGTGGGGATACACCACACTTCGTTTATCTTTTCATGTGATGATGGACATTTGGGCTCCTTCCCCTTTTGGCTCTTATGAGTAATGCGGCCATGAGCATAGGTCTACAATTATTTGCTGGAGTCTTCTATACCCAAAAGTGGGATCCTGGTTCCTATGGTGGTTCCATTTTTAATTTTCCGAGGAACCAGGATCCTCTTTCCCACAGAGGCTGCGCCATGTTATAGTCCCATCAGTGGTGCACACGGCTTCCAATTTCTCTGCATCCTCACCGACATGTCTTCCACTCTGGTTTTTTAAATGATAGCCGTCCTGATTGATGCGATTTTGAAAAAACAACATTCTTTTTGATTTCCTTCTTCTTTTTTTTAAAAGTGTTTATTTCTTTGAGAGAGAGAGAGAGAGAGAACAAGCAGAGAAAGGGCAGAGAGAGAGGGTGAGAGAGAATCCCAAGCAGGCTCTGTGCTGTGAGCACAGAGCTCGACACGGGGCTCGATCTCACGAACCAGGAGATCATGACCTGCGCAGAAGTCAGATGCTTAACCAACTGAGCTGCCCAGGCGTTCCTTCTCTCCCTTTTTCAAATGTTTTCTTGTGTGACTTTCAGAACCCCACATGGGCACGTATTTCTTCCTAGCATGCCGGCCATTCATCCACAGTCCCATCAGAAGTCTCTCTTCTCCCTCCCGCTCTAACACATCATCTCTCCTCTCTTCCCTATCCTTATACCTTAGACGTTTTTAAAAAATTAAAACCCATCATATTAATTCCCACAGACACCCTGAATTTACCTGCCTTAAGAAATCTCCAGTCCAGGGGCGCCTGGGTGGCTTAGTCGGTTAAGCATCCGACTTTCGCTTAGGTCATGATCTCGAGGTTCGTGGGTTCGAGCCCCACGTCGGGCTCTGTGCTGACTGCCAGCTCAGAGCCTGGAGCCTGTTTCAGTCTGTGACTCCCTCTCTCTCTGACCCTCCCCTGCTCACGCTGTCTCTCTCTCTCTCTCTCTCCTAGAAATAAATAAAATAAAAATAAAATAAAATAAAATAAAATAAAATAAAATAAAATAAAATAAAATAAAAAAGAAATCTCCAGTCCAGAGCCTCACTCCACGTTTCAGATTTGAATACACAACTGCCCATTCAATACCTCTACTTTCATGCCTATTTGGCTTCTGAGACGTAAAATATCCACCGCACATTCCTTATTCTCCCTCCACTTTTGCAGATCCTTCTGCAACATCATACATGTCAACATCATCGCCCATTTGCTCAGGACACGTGCCTTGGATTATCTTTCGCTCATTCCTTTCCCTCCCACTCTCACCCCGTTCAACAGGAAGTCCTGACGACCTCCTTCCAAAATAGATTCTGAGCCTGGCCACCCCCACATGCCACGCCACTGACGTCTTAGTCCTGCCGTATGAGCACCCGGCACAGGCCGGTGATCTCCTCAGTGTCCCTAGTGCGGTCCGTCCCTCTTCTCCCCACGGTCGGCCCTTCACGCACAGAAGCCAGAGCGGTCCTCTGAAAGCATTAGCCAACCACGTCACCCTCGTCCCCAGTCCAGTCCCGCTGTCTTCCCTTGACCCAGAGTCCTCACCGTGGCCCCCAAGCCCCACGGGGGCTCAGCGTTGGCTACTCGTCTCACCTTGTGTCACTCCTGCTCATGACACGGGGCCACACTGGCCTCCTTGTCGTTCCTTGGCACTTGCTGATTCCTTTCCGGGCCGGCTGGCTCCCTAAATGTTTGCATGGCCCTCCTCCATCGCTTCAGGTCTCTGAACAAATTTCATTTCCTCAAAGAGGTTTTCTTTCTGACTCCCCCTCATAAATAGGCACCCGGTCCCATCAGACACAAGCGTTTTATTCCCACTTTATTTGTCATCCCAGCTCTTATCATTTGCTGACTGGACGGTATATAATTATTTGGCTATTTATTTCCTCCTGATCCTGCCTCGGGACAATGCAGACATTGTCTTTGCTGTTTACATCTCTATTCTCCAGCGTCTAGAACAGCGTGTGGCCCCTGAAGATTTTATATTATCTTTTTAAAAATAATTTCTTCTAGGGGTGCTTGGGTGGCTCGGTTGGTTAGTCGCCAACTTCGGCTCAGGTCATGATCTCACAGTTTGTGGGTTCAAGCTCCATATCAGGCTCTGTGCTGACAGCTCAGAGCCTGGAGCTGCTTCGGATTCTGTGTCTCCCTCTCTCTCTGCCCCTCCCCCGCTCACACTCTGTCTCTCTAAAAAATAAACATTAAAAAAATTAAAAAATAATAATTTCTTCTACGAGACATTAGCTCTTGTGACATATTAATAAAACACTTCCAGAGGTGCCCAGGTAGCACAGTTGGTTAAGCGTCCAAATCTTGGTCTCAGATCAGGTCATGATTTCATGGTTCGTGAGTCCTAGCCCCATATCAGGCTCTCGGCTGACCGTGTGGAGCCTGCCTGGGATTCGTTCTCCCTCACTCTCTCTCTCTCTCTGTCCCCTCTCTGCTCACGCATGCTCTCTCTCAAAATAAGCCCTAAAAAAATAATAAGACGTCCCCCTCCTTATGTAATGGAGGGCTTTGGCTTTCGGAGTTCATATGCAGTAACAATCAAGTAAAATGTCCGTAGAAGCCCAGTATCCTGACGTTCTCTGTTAACACTTAGGAAATTTCCCTGAGCACATTATGAGGTCTTGCCTTCCCGCTGGAAGTCATCAACAGGGCAGCCCCAGTTTCCAAGCCTCTCTCTTGATCTGATCTAGGGCACGGCAGCTGTGACCTGCCGTGGAAGATGGGAGAAATCCCAGGAGCATTCCTAAATCGGGAGAGCAGCTTCATTATGATGCATCCCCAGCAAATCCTAAGCATGACTTATGAGACTCCTTTTAGGATGATTAAAAGAAAGAAAGAAACTAGTGAGAAGATCACACACTTCATTTGTAGCAAACATCTCAGGCAGTTTTCTTCCATGATGTTTATAAAGGGAGCCCAGGGGAGTGAAACGGGCCTCTGCGTCCTGATACTCCAAGGGGCCATATATCTTAAAGGCGACCGCGGGGTGTCCAGTCAAGCTGAAATAGAGAAACAAATGATCTGGGCTGGTTGGCTCTGTGTGTGTGTGTGTGTGTGTGTACACGTGCGTATTGTGTGCACGTGTGCAAGGCAGGTGGACAGCAGATGTTACAGAATAATGAGAATAAAGGTAGGCAGTGCCCGGGGGGTACAATCTATGAGAATGTTCCATTGTAAACAACCACTGAAGGGTTTGAAGCCAGGCTCTGATTCAAAGAGACTTGCATTTGGGGGTGATCTCTGCAGGTGCTGCCCGGAGAAGGGGGTAGAGTAGGATGCCAGAGACGTCAAGACCGGTGATGAGGCCACTGTAGTAATTCAGGGGAGAAAGAAGGGTGATGATATGGACAGAGAGGGGCCAAGGAAGGTGGTAGAAACCACGTTGTGTCCTGGGATCTGAAGGTGCAAAATGACATCTTTATTTATTTTTTTATTTTTATTTTTTAATTTTTTAAAATGTTTTATGTGTTTCTGAGAGAGAGAGAGAGAGAGAGAGAGAGAGAGAGAGATGCAGCATGAGCAGAGGAGGGTCAGAGAGAGAGGGAGACACAGAATCCGAAGCAGGTTCCAGGCTCTGAGCTGTCAGCACAGAGCCCGACGTGGGGCTCGATCACATGAACCACCAGATCATGACCTGAGCCCAAGTCAGAGGCTTAACCGACTGAACCACCCAGGTGCCCCCAAAATGACATCTTGAAAGGAGTCTAGTCTCCTCAGAGTGGCACACCGTTCTCCCTTGGACAGACCGACAGAGACGCGGAATCACAGCCCAATTATTTCCGCAAACCTGAGGCCTTTCCCATAGGGCCAAGATCCCTTTTCTGCAGATAAAATGAGCCTCTTTCCCTGTGTTTTCTGCTCATGTGGACAGGGCTCTATGAGAGACGTGACCTGTAAAGAATGCCTTCAGTGCGAGATGTCACATCAAGCTTTTTAACCCTACTCAGTGTGAACCTTGCTCTCCCCAACTTTCCTCAACCGTAACGATGAGGGCAGTCCACCGGGGCTGGACGCCTTCCAGGAGAGACCCCTCCCAACAGAGTAGTGGCCCATCCTGGAAAGGACAAAAAGAAAAGCTAGGCACAGACGGGTCACACGCGATGGCAGACGCTTGGCCACCAACCATCACAAGCCCGTTCTTCTGCACGGTCAGACTGTGGACCTCGCCTGGTCCTCCTTCCGAGCTGTGACTTCCTGCCCACTAGTCTTTGCCGGCATGTGCCTGCGGGAATAGATTGTCCCCAACCCACACACTGGAGCTGCTGAGTTTGTTGCCTTTTCCAAAGCAGAACTCTTACCAGATAGCAGCCCTATGTGGTTACGCTCCATCTGCTAATGCCTCTCCTCCATACTCTCTCTCTGCTTGGCTCTAGATCTGGTATCACCCCCCAGGCTGTCCTTCTAGATGGTTTCTGATTGGGTTCCGCCAATGGGAAGTATTGGCCGGAGACTGGATGGTGGAGGGAGGTCAGGAGAGGCAGCCTTCTCTTCCTGTCGGCCTGGATGCTTTGTCTTCGACTTCCCTCCTTGACCGTAGCCCCCCACCAGGTGCCCCTCCTCCACAGCTCCGCCAACATTGCTCCACTTTAAGTTGCTTCAGCCCCCTGGGGGTGACCACAGCTTCTTTCCGGTGCTGGACTCTGGGTAATTAATTCCTCCTCCCTCGTCTACACCCTGCGCCCAGCCCTCCTCTCTGTCAGCGGTTCGCTCACACGTCTCTGCATTCGAACCATCTGCAATGAATCTGGTTTGCTGCCGAGACTGTGACATTAGCATAGTTCTGGTAAACTGTGCCTGCCGTCTGCATTAGTTCATGGAGCTTCCTGTCATGGCGGACATCAACAGCTTGGACGCCAAGGGGTAGCCCTCTCGTTCATGTTACGACCATGGGCACTCAACTACAAGAGTTTGTTCTTGGGTGGCTGGGGACTCGGTTAAAGCTTCCGACTTCTGCTCAGGTCATGATCTCACGGTTCGTGGGTTCAAGCCCCAAATCAGGCTCTGCATTGACAGTGTGGAGCCTGCTTGGGATTCTCTCTCTCTTCCTCTCTCTCTCTGCCCTTCCCCTGCTTGCGTGCACTCTCTTGTTCTCTCTCTCAAAATAAATAATTTAAAAAAGGAGTGTTCTTAGCCCTTAACACACACACACACACACACACACACATGTGCATTTTGGGATTTCACAACACGTTTGCCCCTTTGCTGTGGCTGAAAAGGGCTGGCCTTAAGGAAGTCTTCCTAACTCCCCTTTCGAATCTGAATGGGATTGTCCATGACATCTGAGGTCATATCTTTATTTTCCTCTACCACGTGTCCAAAGGTCTCACATCCAAGGGGGGGATTTTGGTGTGTTCAAGCGTGGGGATTTAATTCAAGACAACGTGAGGTTGCACCTGATTCTGAACCACTCAGGACAGGATCACAGAGTGGATTTTACAGAGCTGAAATCTCGAACAAGGATTTTAAGACAGTTTGCCATGCCGTGAGTGATGTGACCCCCCCCCCCGCCCCTACGTCATCCTCAGTGGCGTTGTTTTTGCCAGTAGGGCTTTTGAGAGAAGGACTCACTTTAAAGCTATGGAAAGACGTGTGAAAATTCTTACCTTGCTCAACGTGGTGAGGACAGACACAGCATTCAAGGTCGAAAAAACTTGGAAACAGTGGAGGGTACGTCCCGGAGAATTAGCACAAATTGTGGGGTGTGCTCGAGTCTCACGGCTGTGGAACTGACAGAGGTAGAAACAAATTATACGAGAGTATCTCATCCGACCCCAGAGATCTTCCTGGGTCAGTGAGTGGCAACGCAGCATTGAGTAAATTCAACAAGCCAAACATGCGAATACCACCTGCTCAGGGGCATAACGCTGTAGCTCTGGATACTTAGATGGGTGCGTGCCTGTGTGTTTAGATTCACCGTGTGAAATATTTACTGAATGAATGAATTGCTTATTCACTCTCTCTCTGCCTGACCTTCTTCCAAGCAATACTGTGTTCTAACTTCATTGAGTCTCCTACACCGGTCTTCTTCCACCCTACCATCAAGTCACCCATCACCTCCCATCTAGTCTCCCTGACTGCAGGGATTTCTTCTCATCCATCTTCCTAAAATGCAAATTTGATCAAGTCTCTGTCTTGCTTGAAACTCGTCCGTGGCTCCAAATTGTCCTCAGATGCCCTAAAATTGTGTACAAGAAGCGTATTCCTGATTTGAAATCTCCTTAACCCTTTAAACTGCTCTCTTACTACTCTTGAACTCACACAATGTGTTCCAGCAACATAATGAACATTGTCAATCACACCAGGTGTTTTCTTACCCCAGGCTCTCAGCTATTCCCTATTTCACTTAGTCCAGGGGACACAGACATTCTATGTTTCCTCTTGGCTTGGGTCTTGACCAGGCTTTTCGCCCTCCGTCCATCCCCTATTAACTCCTACCTACCTATAGGTCTCAGCTAGATGCTCCTTTCTCTGTGAAATACTTCGTGCGTGGCTCCCCTAAAGTGCAGCTTAGCATCGGTCTTTTGTGTCTCTTTTGTGCCCTACGTTTATTTCAGCAGAGCGTTTGTTACCTTGTATTTGTTCCTTACTTGCCCGTTTCCTTTACGGACTGATACAGACAAGCTCTGTGAAGGTTTGCTCTCTCTTTGCATCAGTCTTGGTTTAGCCCCAAGGACAGACCAATTCCGGGGGGTTTCATACAAGAAATTGGGGGAACAGGTGCTGGAGAGCTGACATGGCAGAGGAGGAACAGTGAGGTGGGACAGGAAGCAGCCACCCCCCACCCCGGGCTTGGGGGATGAATGTAAGAGGCTGTGGGTCCTGGAGCCCCAAGGCTTTCAGGACTGCAGGGGGGGCGGGGGTGGGGGGCGGTCTGGAAGGAGAGGATGCTGCCTGACTGGTCGGTGCTGGTGTGCGGCAGCTCAAGCGAGGGGCCCCAGAACTGGGGCCCACTGACTGGCCGAAACCATTCCCTCCTGGGTGCGGGGACTGACGGAGCTGGTTTGGGGAGCGTGGGGAGAAAGCCAGAAACTGGAATTAGCGACCACGGGCAGGGTAAAGAGCCCCCTGTAGCAAGGCTGAGCAGGACAGCCGAGAACCTGAAGAATCTGGTTTCCTCTCCTCCGATCAGCCTCCCTCCCTCGAGCGCATGCTGCTGGGCAGACCCTCACGGGGCACCCACTGGCCGAACAGGACCCTAGACCTAGAATCACAGGGGACGGCTCAAAGCTGAGACACGACAGCTTGAGACAGCAGAGAGTCTAGTTCACCCTGATTGGGGGCGAACGGACGGCTGAGTTCTGTTCCCGAAAGTGACCCAAATGAAGCCCCAAACAAAGAGAAGACTCCGCAACTTTTCTCGGGGCAGAGGCAGGGGAATTGGTACCAGCCACGCAGGTGACAACGGTTTGCTACCAATAACCGTAGTGTGGTCGCCTCCGGAGGAAGCGCAGGTCCCGCCAAACCCAAGAAAGGCGCCGGGAGTCAGCAGGTGACCCCCTGCCTGAGGAGCCTGCAGATTTTGGCAGATCCGACTGAGAGCCCGGAACGTGGCCGCCTGCCGCACCACCGGAGGGAAGTCGGTTGCAGACCACGCACGCGGTGACCAAGTGTGTTTCAACCGCGGTGGGAACGCAAACCACGTGGCGCCGTGTTAACACGCAGATTCTGATTCAGTAAGTTGCCGCCGGGGCCTGAGACTCTGCATTTCCAGCTAATTCTACCCGGTCTGCAGACACAGCTGCAGGAAGACATTGGTGACAGCAGCCCGGCCATGTATCCCTAAACTCTGCAAGCCGTGTAGACAAGAGACTCCAATGCCCTCAACTCACCAGCGTTCTCCAACACACCCGGCTCTCCTACTAGCGTCCTCTGGGCACTAACCCACCGTCACATTTCTACCCAATGACCTATGGCCAGTCTGTTCAAGCCCTAGTGGCTCCAAAGGTCTCCCGGATTGCCTAGGCCAATTAACGACTCCTTTTATTTGACCCTCGTCTTATGGAAGGACCCCCATTCCACATCTTAAGCTGCCAGTGTCCACACGTGTCCTAGTTTCCATAGGAAGGTAAGATCTCAAGGTAGGGATACTAGTTTCTTCCACGCTGTTTACTCATAGTACCAGACACGGAGCTGCCCAAACATTTGATGCTTGACAGCTTTCGTTGGATTAAGTTCATTGAGAAATGCACGATGCATCAGCCGTAGAACCGTGTGGGAGCGGGAGAAAGGCTTTCTCAGGCAATACCTTTCTTTGCTGCTGCTTCATCTTTCGCTGTCGGCGGGGAATCTCTTAGGGAAGCGGGCTAAGGGAGGTGGTGAAATTAAAGCCAATTGAAAAATCCAGACAGTTTGCTCTGTTGTGCCAGTATGTGGAAGATCAGGGGGCTGGGAAGAGGGGAACGTTCTGTTGATTAACTCAGTTCCTCATTAAATGAATTTGCTATATCTATATCTATCTATCATCTATCTATCGATCTATCTATCTATTGATATAGATATAGCCAAAATAAATAGGTATGTAAAATATAACCTATATAAAAAATAAATTCTATGATAATAAATAGCAACCCACAAAGATTTAACTTCCTGAAAATATGAGTAATTTCTTGCATTCCCTCACTCATACATTTTTGTTCTTCTCTGTCCAATTTCTGGGGCAAATCTAAGACTATACTTAAAGATGGCCGAAAAATAAAAACAGGTAGCCCCAAATATAAAAGTCATTCAAATGAATTCACCCTTTGTTTCAATCACCTTTAATCAGACTATTTGGGGGCCGATGCTGGCATGGTAACCCACGACAGGTAATAAGGTTCCTCAGTGAATCCAAAGGATTCGAGGCTTATAAACTATAGCCTCAAAAATAAAAGAATGAAGATGTTAGGGAAGAATCAATGCTTTCTCTGAAATTAAAAAAATTGGAGTGTCAAGAAGGGCAAACACTGACCGACTCTTTTATTTACTTTTTAAAAATATTTATTTATTTATTTTGAGAGACAGAGATAGAGAGCAAGCAGGGGAGGGGCAGAGAGAGAAACAGAGGGAGACAGAATCCCAAGCAGGCTCTGCACTGATGTGCAGATGCGGGACTCGAACTCACAAACCTCGAGATCATGACCGGAGCCCAAATCAAGAGTCAGATGCTCAACCGACTTAGCCACCCAGGCGCTCCGGTGACTGATTCTTTTAAATGGAAGAAATTGGATCCTTAAAAATGGGAATTTGCTCCCAGAAAAAAAATCCCAACATGACTTATTTAAATATTACTAAATCATTACATTAAAACTATTTGCGAGCTTTTGTTAAAAAAAAAAAAAAATGGAAGGGGAGCCTGGGTGGCTCAGTTAGTTAAGTGTCTGACTCTTGATATGGGCTCAGGTCATGAACTCACACTTCATGAGTTCGAGCCCCTGGTTGGGCTCTGTGTTGACAGCATGGAGTCAGCTTGGGACTCTGTCTCTCTCTGCCCCTCCACTGCTTGCATGCGTGCACACACTTTCTCTCTCTCAAAAATAAATTTTAAAAAACAATGGAAGATTACTGAGAATCAGAGTAGGATCACCCTAGAGTTAGGCACTGTTAAAGGAGCAATGTCAAGAATAAAAGTCTTGGGCTGGTTGGATGGCTCAGTTGGTTAAATTTCTGACTTCGGCTCAGATCATGATCTCACGGTTCATGAGTCTGAGCCCCACATCGGGCTCTGTGCTGACAGCTCGGAGCCTGGAGCCTGCTTGGATTCTGCGTCTCCCTCTCTCTGCCCTTCCCCTGCTTACTCTCTGTCTCCCTCTCAAAAATAAACATAAAAACATTTTTTAATAAAAAAAAAGAATAGAAGTATCTAGTAACATGCCTCAGGGCTCTGTTTTTGTACTCACTTCTGCTGTGCACTCATCAAATGGAAAATTTGGGGCAGTGGGGGTACTGTAAGGTGGTCTCCTACTCTGACTTGGAGTCAACACTTAGTTCTTGGATTAAACATAAATTCTCCGAATGGGACCCCCCTCCCTCCTCCCGCACCCTTGATCTCTTAGGCTCCCCTGTCCAGATGCTCTCATTATATTACTCAGTGTCTGGAGACTTTGGGTTTTGCAAAATCTTCCCAGGTTTTTAAACTCCCCTTTATCCATTTCACCCATTCCCCACCCACCTCCCCTTTGGCATCCACCAGTCAGTTGTCGTCTTCAAGAGATTGTTTTCTGTTTGTTGGTCTCCTTTTTCCTTTGTTCAATTTGTTTTCTTAAATTCCGCACGTGAACGCCAACACGTGGTATTTGTCTTTTTCTGACTGACTTATTGCACTTGGCATTATCGTCTCTAGCTCAATCCAAAACCTTCCCAAGTTTGAAGATTCCTATTCTCTGTCAAATACCCCCAATCAGATCTTAAGAATCCTGTTTACTTGTGGGGCAGGGCGATCCACCTCCCTGGCTTGCTGAGGGCTGGTGGGTTTACCAGGAGGCGGGGCTGTCGGCACTGAAAACTGGGAGGTCCTGGGTGAATTGGGAAAGTTCATCACCTTAACCGGAAGAGTCCCTGCCTCCCCACTCATTGTCCCCAGGACTTTGTTTCTCTGGCTCCTCTTTGGATTGACCGAGGCTTAGCACCCAGAGAGCTGGATGGTAGAAACACCACTTGCCAGCGGGGACCACCTTTTGATAAATCGCTGACTGTAAGGGATGAATTTGCCTCAAGTATAGGGTGTCCTGAACCTAAGCATCCTTTCTTTTGTTAAGTGTTGGCTTGAGTTAGAGTCAAAGACACCTACAAACACTATCAAAAAAGGGGGTGGTGGTGGTTGGGGGCAGGAAGAAGCAAATCAACAAAACATCTAGCAAGGCAGAGTGGATTTTGCTTTTTGTTCAGGCTGATCTAAGAAAATGTACAATTAATATCTATATATTTAATGTTTATTCATTGTTGAGAGACAGAGAGGGACAGAGCCAGAGCATGAGTGGGCAAGGGGCAGAGAGAGAGGGAGACAGAATTCGAAGCAAGCTCCAGGCTCTGAGCTGTCAGCACAGAGCCCCACGCGGGGCTTGAACCCACAAACTGTGAGATCATGACCTGAGCTGAAGTCAGATGCTTAACCGACTGAGCCACCCAGGCACCTTTTTAAAAAAATATTTTAAATGTTTATTTTGAGAGAGAGGAGAGAGAGACAGAGCACGAGCAGGGGAGGGGCAGAGAGAGAGGGAGACACAGAATTTGAAGCAGGCTCCAGGCTCCAAGCTGTCAGCACAGAGCCTGACGCAGGGTTCGAACCCACGAACCTTGAGAAGAAAATGTCCAAGTAAAGAAAAATAGGGAGGGGGGCAAGGTGGCGGAGAAGTAAGGAGCTCCGTACTTATACTCGCGCCCATACATCACACAGAAAAGATCTGAAGCCATTGGAAACCTTACAAAACCTGAGAGATTGGGAGAAAAAGGACACAGAATCCACTGAGAAAGCCTTCTAACAGCTACCTCAAGACACAAGCCAGACTACACAAGGTGGAGAGTCCCATATATCACTACAAATAGGAAAATAAAATAACCAAGGTCCCAACAAGAGAGGCCAAGAGATACCATTCAAGTAAAGAAAAACAGTTGGGGGGCGCCTGGGTGGCTTAGTCGGTTAAGCGTCCGACTTTCGCTTGGGTCATGATCTCGCGGTTCGTGGGTTCGAGCCCCGCGTCGGGCTCTGTGCTGACTGCCAGCTCAGAGCCTGGAGCCTGTTTCAGTCTGTGACTCGCTCTCTCTCTGACCCTCCCCTGCTCACGCTGTCTCTCTATCGCAAGATCTCTCTCCTAGAAATAAATAAAACATTAAAAAAATTAAAAAAAAAAAGAAAAAGAAAAAGAAAAACAGTTGGATTAGCAGATTCAGATTCAGAAAGTGGAAAGCATTTTTTCTTTAATTTGAGTAAAACTGATACACAGAGTTACATTAGTTTTAGTTGATTATTATTATTATAGTAATAATAGCATAATAGTAATAATAATGATTATAATAGTAATTATTATAATTGTTATTATAATTACTATTATAACTAATATAATTACTATTATAACTAATATAATTACTATTAAAATTATATATCACATAATTATTGTAATTACTATTATATATGCTATTATAATATACTATTATACACAGTATATATAACTACTATTATAATCTAATTATAATACTGTAATTATTATAATAGTAACAATAATAATTAGTAGTAGTGGTAATTTGACAAGTTCATGCATTATGCAATGTTCACAAGTGTATCTACCAACTGTCTGATTACATCACTATTACAATGTCATTGACTCTATTCCTTATGCTGTGTCTTTTTTTCCCATGATTTACTCATTCCATAACGGAAGGGGAAAGTATGTCTGTATGTATTTAAAAGAGTTTGTTTTTAAGTAATCTCTACACCCAACATGGGGCTGGAATTCACAATCTCAAGGTCAAGAGTCACATGCTCTCCCGACTGAGCTAGCCAGAGAGGGAAAAGTATTGCTTTCAGGTTTCTTAGAGGAAGTAAGTTGTCCCCAATCAGGACTCATTAGAATCATTATCTC